CAGTGCCTGGCTGCCGGCCGCCATCTTGGCTGACAGTTAATTTGCATATACTCACTGATTAGCCAATGAAAAGGGTAGCGGTCGTACGCTAATTACCATGTTTCTCTTTTATTAGTGTAGATACTGATTAGATAATAGAAGTAGACCAGCAAAGTAATGAGTTTCTTTTAAAATTACCTAATTGCTATGACTATACAGTGTTAATTTATATAGTTATTTCTAAAGAAAAGATAAAGCTAATATTCCTTTACTGGAGGGTCATATTGTCATCTGATCACAAACCTTAAGTAGTTTCAAAAGAAAACTAATCCATCTAGTGTTAGCAGAAATGGATAAAGTATTTCATAATACCAAAGTTTTGGGTTTGACAGTTCTTCAGCAAGCCATGACATATAGAATAATTTTTAAAAGGACCTTTGCAAATAGTGTCTCACTTTTTAATTTATAGCTGCCCTGAGGGGTAAGCAGGATGGATCTTTTTATCCTTGTTTCTGGATGACCTAACACAATCACATAAATCTTTAAGGGTCATTTACAAAGTCACAGGGAGATAAAGGGAAAGAGAAGGCTACTATCCTGAATTCTGTGTTACTTTCGTTATAAAATTAGAGCTCAAAATGGTTAACAAAACACTGTTTCCCTAATCCTATGGGCAGCACCAGTGGTCATAAGACCTGCAGCTCTTCAGTGCACAGACTGGTGATGGGTTTTCCCTTTCTACTTTCTCAGAGGATATTGGACACAGGTCTATTTAGGAAAATATACTAAAAAAAAAAATACAAATAAACAAATAAAAATGTTACCTGGTCTTGATGCTACAAAAGTACAATATTGTAAATAATACATTTGTTGCAATGCATAACTATATCTATCAATGTAAATGGCAAATTTGCTTCAGTTTTTAAAGAGTGTACCTTCTAACTAGTGCAGGTAAAGTGCTCCAAAAGGTGGTCCCAAATAGGTCTATGGCTCAGACACAAGAAATTATTTCTCAGCCTTGCAAACATTTCAAGATACACCAGTGGGGAGAGGAGGCTCTCTACCTTCAACACAAGATTTCCAAGATCTCCACACAGGAGAAAAAGCAGATGAAGGAAGTTTGAAATGACAATAGAAGGGGAAAGAGGAAGAAGTGAGAGAAGTATGGGGAAGTAATAGTCAAACAGAGCAGCAACTTGTCTCTGCTCTGGGGACAGGAAATGGGGCATCACTAATCCACAAGGCAAGTGACTTAACAGGACAGACAAGGTGGCCTGGATGCAGGACAATGGTGTTCAAGATTTTTCCAAGTTTTGTCATTAGTGAATTTCCTGTAGGGTTGGTTCCTTGGTCACTCACTGAGACACACAAAGCATCTTATTTCTTTGGGCAGTGATCAATATCCTTGACTCTTTTTTTTTTCAAATATATTTTATTGATTTTTTACAGAGAGGAAGGGAGAGGGATAGAGAGTTAGAAACATCGATGAGAGAGAAACATTGATCAGCTGCCTCCTGCACACTTCCCACTAGGGATGTGCCCACAACCAAGGTACATGCCATTGACTGGAATCGAACATGGGACCCTTCAGTCCTCAGGACACGCTCTATCCACTGAGCCAAACTGGCTAGGGCAATATCCTTGACTCTTTAGAATCAAGTGAGGGAGGAGAGGCCCAAGTAGTCACGTGTTCATAATTCTAAATTGTATTAGATAAGCTTGTATTTCTGGAAAACTTCCAGAGTCTAAATACGGAGCTCTATTTTCCTGATGAATCTTTTTCTGAGGTTCTCTATATGCATTGAGTCGATTACTTCTGGGGTGCCATTTTAAACATTTAACTTTTTCAATCCTATTAGAAAATAGGAGGAAGCAAGAGACATTATAAATGGTTGTTTGACTGGATGCATGTAATCAATTGATATATTGAAAATGTAGCAATAATATACTAGTAAATAATAGTCTTTTTACTCTGCTATATTATATCTATTAATGCTAAAGAGTTCATATTTCATAGAGCAAAGTGAGTGAACACAGTATTTCATCATCTATATATATAAAAAGCCAGCAGCCGGAATGTTGTAACAACCAAAATGACTAGTCGCTATGACGCCCACTGCAGCCAGCTAACTGGCCTGATCAGGGGGTGGGGCCGGCTGGCCAACCTCCCATGGCCCCTCCCCACAGCTGGCCCCACCCCTGATTGGCCACCCCACTCCAATGGGCCCGCAGCCCCTCTCCCCAACCAGCCCCACCCCTAATCGCCTCCCCACACACCCAATGTGCCCCACCACCCCAATTGGCCTGTAGCCCATTCCCCCAGCAGGCCCAACCCCTGATAGCCTCCCCCTACCCCAATAGGGGGCAGAACTGGCCGGCCCAACACCTACAGCTCCTCCCCACTGCCAACCCCACCCCCAGTCAGCCCCCACCACCCCAATCAGCCTGAGGCCCCTCCCCCCAGCCAGCTCTGCCCCTGATCAGCCCCTCCACACCATTCCAGGGGTGGGGCCTGCCAACCAATCACCTGTGGCCCCTTCCCCAAGCCAGCCCAGCCCTGATTGGGCCCCAGTAGGGGCAAGCCGGCCAGCCAATCTCCCGCCATCTCCTTCTCCTGATAGGCCCAGCCCCTATCTGCCCGCCAATTGGGGCTGGACCAGCTAGACCCCATCCATGCATGAATTTGTGCACTGGGCCTCTAGTACGTTGATAATATTGTCATTAGTACAAAATTTAGGATATCTGGTGCAAACATTAATTACTAATGAAAAAATGCTTAGCCAACTACTCTCAAGCCCAAATGATACTTAATTCATTGACTGACATTTTGATTTTTCACAGGGTTTTTCTGAATAAAAGCTCACTTTGTTTTCACAAAAACTATAAAAGGGAGGTAGGGTAAATAGATTATCCCGCATGATAGTGGAGGAACCTGGAGTTAATAATGTTTGAGGGTTATTTATAAATTCACATGGGAAGTGGAAGGGAGGGCCAGGCAGGAGCTCAGCATTATGGCCCTGAGCCCCAGAACTGGGTTCAAGTGAGAGAAAGAGGAAAATGATCATCTCAACATTGACATTATCACAAACTCTATCTGCTGTGTGAGTTGCCATAGACTCTGTAAGACCAGTGCAAACAAATACAGTTCTCTTCCTTTTACTTTATATTGTCTATGGATTTCAGAAAAACACCGACATCTGGAAAATTACTTTGCAAAACAAGTAAGAGCAAGTAAATAAGAATTTTTCATGGTTTCAAGTGGGCAGTGTTTTCTACAAAAGATTGAGTCTAATTTTTTGCTATTTCCTTTACAGTAAAAATTTGCTTTAATTTAAGATAGTGCATATTTAACTTTTGTAGTTAGGCTAATGGCTGTGACAAATAAACCAAAGGAGGTCAATCACTCACACACAATAGAATTTTAATATTTTTCTCAAGTAAACATTCCAAAGGGTTTTAGAAGAAAGGGGAGAGGGGAGGTGGGGGGGGAGGCTCTATTTCACAAAGTCATTCTGGGAAGAAGCGAAATGAGAGATCTGCCTTCTTCAATTCCAGATTTCTAACACCACCTTGGGAAAGAATCAGAGCTAAAATATAATACAATTACAGACATGAACACAAATCCATACGCTACATGTAAAAGAAGAAAGGGAATGCAGTGCAAAATACAGAGGGCCAAAAGAAAACAGAGGAGCCCTGCTAGTGTGGCTCAGTTTGGTCAGCATCCTCCCAGGCATCCAAAGGTGGCTGGTTTGATTCCCATTACGGCACATGCTAGGGTTGCAGGCTCCATGCCCTGTAGGGGTGTGTGCAGGAGGCAGCTGATCAATGATGTTCCTCTCTCATCAATGTTTCCATCTCTCTATCCCTCTTCCTCCCTCTCTCTCTAAAAGCAATAAAAATATATTTTTTAAAAAAAGGAGAGGCACAGAGAAAGGACAGGGTTGGGGGAGCTGTCCCCTGCAGTGGAATTATAGGGAGAAGGGCTTATTGATTGTCTTGAGGGTGCTCACTCCCTTAGGGGAGGCTAATGAAATTCTTCATTTATTACAATTTTGTCCAGGAGCAGAGCTACTCCACCATGGAAACAAAACCAGTTCCTTCTCTGTAGACCTGGTGGATATAAAGAAGAAAATGCCATTTTTATATTCAGGTGTTGAATGTGAAGCCCAAGCGAGGACTGGCTGTAACCAGGCTTCTGATGTAATAGGTAAGGCTGACGGAAAGAATATGTGATGTGAATCCCAGTTCCAGGCAAGGGTCTGGGACATGTCATCAGGGCCCATGGAGACAGTCCTGGTGACCTTGGTTAGAGGTAGAAAGGGGAGGGAACAAGTGCCTTATGCAGGGAATCCAGCAGAAACACAATCCCAGTAATTGGTAAATTAAAATATTGATATCAGAGAGTATATTATATATCCAAAGAAAGGAAGGTATTGGGATAAGAGTTAAAGAAAAGGGAAAATTTTCAGAGAGCAAACATATTCATGAAAGGAGATGAGAAAGAAAAAAAACACTCACATGAAGACAAGGAAAAGTATAAAGAGAGATACCTTTGCCAGAAACCAGCATCATTAGCAAAAATGGCTGAACCAAGAGGCTTTGCTTGGGGTGATGGGCAATGCAGCAGTGTGCAAATGATGCTTTATTGAGTTGTGCACTTGAAACCTATATGGTTTTGTGAACCAGTATCACCCCAATAAATTAAATTTTAAATGATAATAATAAATATATATATATTAAAAATATATAATTTGAAGCCATTTTTAAAAGTTACACTATATACTTCTCTCTGATCCATCTTTCTAGCTAATAAATATTTAGGCATGTTTGGAATGATACAAAGAAAGAATGAAAGAAAGAAGTAGAATGAGGGGGGAGATAGAAAGAGAGTGGAGGTAAGAGATAAAGTGAACATGGAGTTGAGGTAGAATGGGGATGGGGATAGCAAGCTGAGTGAGGGTGGGGGCAGGAAAGTGCTTCAGGTTGGGCAAAGCTGCCCTCTGTGCATGAACTTCATCACCTTCTGGATAGGACCTGAAGCAACCTGCAGGTCACCCACATCAGGCACAGACCAGAGGGACCTGAGTTAAGTTGGCTTCTAGGTCTTCCTAATGCTCCCATGAAGGGGTTTCCACTCAGTGGTTGCCATGACCCCACCCTGAGACACTATGGGTTTTTTCTGCTTTGTGCAGAGATCAACAGTGAGGACTCCAGAGAATCCAGTGATGGAGGTGAGCCCCCTGAAACTTCCACCTCAGCATTGAAAAGGAAGCCAGGTAAGGAGGTGGGAGCTTGGGGGTTGAGGTGCAGGAACCTCAATTAAGAGGCACTGTTTCCTGAGGCATCAATTCTGAGTTCATCCTATACCACAGACCCAGTTTATCCTGGAATCCCATTCTCTATGTTTATTTTACTTGACCTTTTGGGATGTGCAAGGTATCATTATATTTATATAATGATAAGAAATCATTATATTTATATTTTTTAAACATGAGGACTATTAATTCATAGGTGCTATTAATCAAGCTATGCACCCATCTATTGATTGTATAGTAAAAATAGGCTAGCAAAGTAGTGAATTTATTTTAAAACTAATTCTATTATTACACAGTGTTGGATTTATACAGTGATTTCTACAGAGAGGAGAAAGCTAAATATTTCTTTATTGGAAGGTCATATTGTCATCTAATCACAAAGTTTGAGTAGTGTTGAGGGTCAGTTCCTCCAGCTCTCCTGTGTTAGCAGAAATGGACAGTTTTTAAAACCCAAAGTGTTGTTTTTTAGAGAGTTCTCCTGAAAGTCATGACATATGGAATGACTTTACAAAGGATCTTTGCAAATAGTGTCTTACCTTTTCCTTTACAACAACCCTGAGGAGTGAGAAAGATGGCCATTGTTACTCTTGTTTCTAAATGAGAAAATAAAATCACATAAATGTTTAAAATCTCCTACAAAGTTACATGTAGATAAAGGGAAAGACAAGACTAGCTTCCTGGATTCTGTGTTATATCCTTTGTAAAATTAGAGCTTGAAGCAGTTAATAAAACATTGTTTCCCTAATCCTATGGGCAGCACCAGTGGTCATAAGACCAGCAGCTCTTTAGTGCACAGACTGGTAATGGGTTTTCCCTTCCTACTTTCTCAGAAGATATTGGAAACATGTCTATTTAGGAAAACATACTAAGAAAGTATTTAAGAACAAATAGATAATAGAAGGGGAAAGAGGAAGAAGAAGAGAGAGAAGTACGGGAAAGTAATATTCAACGGAGCAGTGACTTGTCTCAACTCTGGGGACAGGAAATAGAGGACCAATAGTTCACAAGGCAAGTGACTTAGGAGGACAGACCAGGTGGCCTGGATGCAGGCCATGATTTGCATGGGTGTTCAAGATTTTTCCAAGTTTTCTCATTAGTGAATTTCCTGTGGGGTTGGTTCCTTGGCCACTCACTGAGACACACAAAGGATGTTACTCCTTTATGCAGTGATCAATACCCTGGACTCGTTAGAAACAAGTGGGCGAGGAGCAACCCAAGAAGCCCTCTGCATACAATGCTAACAAGATATTAATATTAAGGTTGCACTCCTAGATGACAGGTATCCAGCATCAAAATTTAGAGCTTTGTTTTCTTCAGGAATCTTTTTCTGAGTATCCTCCATATGCCTTCATTCTATTACTTCTAGGAAACTGTTTACCTGAAAATAAAATGCTTTACAAAGTGAGAGGCAACAAGCACTTATTTGAGGTCAAAGGATTCAGAAAAGCACTTATTCAGGCAGAAGCATAAAAAGTGTTCCAATGAGGAGACAAGGTCCAGAGATATTTATGAGAAATGGAAGGGGAATATTTACATCAATAGAAGAAAAGCATTTCTATTGATGAAGATGAGCTAATATAGTGATGCTAATTCTAAGCAATGTTTTTAATTTTCAGCTTGGTAGTCATCAGTCCCAAAGTCATGTCTGTTTTCTTGCTATCCTTGAAAACAATTCTTTGAGACACAATGTTGCTTTAAGTCCAGTCCCAAGGGTATTTTGCCCTGTTCTAACAGTGCAAATGTTTGAAGCATAAGACATGCAATGCAGTTATTCTGGCATGGCAATTTAAAGTGGCTTCATTTATATAGAATTTTACAAATTTTAAAGTGGCTTCACTTATATATCATTTTACAAATTTTAAAGTGGCTTCATTTATATATAATTTTACAAATTTTACCTTTTGATCAAGAGCTTTCCTTGAAAGCATAACTGATTAATTATCAGAAAGCAGCACTGATCGCCTGGCTGATGTGGCTCGGTGGTTGAGGGTCAACCTATGAACCAGGAAGTCATGGTTGGATTCCCAGTCAGGACACATGCCTGGGTTGCTGGCTTAATCCTCAATGAGGCATACAGGAGGCAGCCAATCAGTGATTCTCCTCATTGATGTTTCTATCTCTCTCTCCCTCTACCTTCCTATCTGAAATCAATAAAAATATTTTTTAAAGAAAAAAAAAGAAAGCAGCACTGATCAGTTATTAAAAGCATCATTGGTTCTCCATTGTCAGATGGCTCAGTTTGGGAATGTTATGCCATTGTTGGTCCCTCATCGCCAGGAAGGCTCATTCCCAGTATTGCATGTCACATAGGAAAAAGAGTGGTTTTCTCTTTTCTTAGGAGTGACAGGCCACATTTGAGCCACAAGAGCATCAGAACAGAGGAAGGCTTTCCTGTCATGTTTCTTTAAGGGAAACCATCTATCGTCCCTTAAGGTTTCTCATATGAAGTCTCAAAGGCCTTAGTGACCATTTAAAAAATGTTGAGCAACCACTATTAGAGTAGCATCTTTATGACACTGAGCCACAGGCAGTCACATGAAAATATTAAACAAACATGTGGTATCAGTGGACATTGTATGTAATTATTTTGCTTATACCTACATTTTATCTAGCTTAATTTTTATTTTATCAGAAATGTTTCATCCAAGTATAATAGGAGGTATTAGCAATAGAGCAAATCCCAGTTTGTTCAGGAAAGATTTGGTCAAGAGTAATTCTGTTGTCTAATGTAACGCATGCAAAGAAATTTAAACGTTTTTCTGGTTGTCTGTTTTTGGGGTGGTCATTGCAATTCCTACCCAAGGGGAGAAAGTATTCTTTCAAATCTTTATTTGGTCTGATATCACCAGGTATTCAACATACTTGACTATATGTGTAATCAGTTTTATGTTTTGACCTATGAAGTAGGTTTAAAGATGATGCCCAAAGTTCTTTCCAGTCAGAAATTAAGAATAAAAGGAAACATTAACTGTTATTGTGAGTGCTTGGCCTCTTATATTATTTGTGAGGTAAGAAGGGACTAAATAAGGAAAAAAGGAAATATGAGGGTGTAGACTATACAGGCAGGCCTGGCCTAGAATATTGGGTTAGTTGTCCACAATAGATGTCATCTGCTTTACTTCCTAGTAATTTTAAATTTAATTCTTCTGTTGGTTCAACAGTCCAGGTAAGTACTGAACTGTTGAAATAAATCTTTTTTAAATGAATATTTTTGAAGTTGAAGCATTTTTGTAGGAAATATTTTTTAAACATATTTTTATTGATTCCAAAGAGGAATGAAGAAGGAGAGATAGAAGCATCAATGATGAGAGAGAGTCATTGTTCAACTGCCTGCTGCATGCCCTACAATGGAGATCAAGCCCACAACCCAGGCATCTGCCCCAACCAGGAATCGACCTCCTGGTTCATAGGTCTACTCTCAACCGCTGAGCCAAACTGGCTGGGCTGTAGGAAACATTTTTGTGAAATTATCAGAGTCAAAGAATAACTCTCTGTACATGACAGTTAGAAATACCTAGAAATAAGAAGTGTTTCTGCATTATTTGTTCATCATAAGGTGTGCCAAGAGGCCAAGAGGCCAAGAGGCAGGGACTGAAAGTAGCCAAGCATCTGACATAAGGGGCAAAGCTAACCAAGGTCTTGGGGTAGAGGTGATTTAGCAGTTACCATAGATGATTGGTATGTCAGTGATGGGTGATCAAGAATCAATAATATCAGGCAGCTCACCAGTGAAAAGTGGGTCAGTTATGAAGGTGAGAGTCACAGGACTGGGGCAGCAGAATGTCAGAAGTCTGAAATGAGAGCTCCGTTTTCTGTTGAACTTGACTCTGAGCACACTGACAGAAAATGGGTCCAGTTCATGGTACAATCCCATTCTTTTTGCTTAGCCTGATTCTTTTGGGACTAGCAGGAAAACAAGATATCATTATAAAGTCATGATTAACATGGCCCTGTTTATTGTCACAGGAGATGTAGTAGAAATACACTCCTAAAATGGAAGTATTTAGCTTTCTACATCACTGAATTAATCATTAATAATAATCACTGTAATAATCAAAATTAATAAAGTCTTGATTTTGTACAGTGAAATTCATCCATAACACACCAACATTCTGTGGAACCCATAAAAGCCAAGTATTCTTTTGCTTCTCAATAATAGTGTCATTTTGTCACAATCTTAGCAAAGCCTCAAAAGACAACTGATTCTACCACTAAACCGTTAGGAAAAAAACATCAAATCAACTATTCTTAACCCAGCACATTTTTAAAAAATATATTTTTTTATTGATTTCAGAAAGGAAGGGAGAGGGAGAGAGAGATAGAAGCATCAGTGATGAAAGAGAATCATGGATAGGCTGCCTCCTGCACGCCCCTTACTCGGGATCAGCCCACAACCCAGGCATGCACCCTGACCTAAAATTGAACTATTTCATATGTTAACACTCAAATATTAAGCCACAGCAGCCAGGCAACCCAGCACATACTTTTTATGTGTGTCTGTGTTCTAACATGTCACAGGCTTATACAGTGGTGTCATACAAACTTTTGCACAAACCTCTTCATAAAAATCTTAAGGATATGAGACCTGGTCTTACCTCTGAGTACAAAGGTGTTTAAGAGTATTTTTCAAAATGTTATTGAGAAATAAAGGAAGACCCAGGGCCAATTCTGAAGTCCTACTTCTCAATGTAGTAGGTTTGTGATTGTGGTTACTTTAGAAGAAAGAAGCAATAAATCAAACACCTTTATAAACTCAAGCCTTCTGCAGTATGAACCATCCTAAAATTTGTAACTATTTTTTCAATCCTCACTGGAGAATATTTCTTCCATTGATCTTTAGAGAGAGTGAAAGGGAATGAGGAGGGGAGAGAGAGAGAGAAAAAAAAAAAACATTGCCATTGACTAGTTGCCTCCCCCACTTGCCCCAACTGGGGTCAGAAATGAAACCTGCAACCGAGGTACATGCTCTTGACCAGGAATTGAACCAGCGGCCCTTTGGTTGGGGATTGATGCCTTAACCACGGCAAGGGCAAACTTGTAAATTTTATTTAATCATTTCCATTTTCTCACCACCACCTGTTTGTTGTAGGTACTGTGGATTTTGGAAACAACTCCATTTCAGAAAAAGCCAAGAAGAGAAGAAGTAAGAATAAGATTTTATTTGCTTTTGATGTGAGAAATAATTTTATAATGCCAGTGTTTCATCATCTTTATTGTTATTTACAATATTGTGGTAGATAGAACAATTGCTCCTCAAAGATGTCCATGTCTTAATTCCTGAAACCTGTAATCTGTTCTCTTTCATGGCAAGTGGACTTTGCAGATTTAATTAAACTAGGACTTAAAATTGGAGAGGTTATCTTGCATTACCAGGGTGGCCCCAATACACTCCCCTAGTCCTTAAAAAAAATGGAGAATCTTTCTTTGGTGTGGAGAGAGGAAGAATGGTCAGAGAGACACAATATTGTGGCTCTGAAGATGGAAGAAGGGCCCTAGCTAGTTTAGCTCAGTGGATAGAGCTTCAGTCTGCAGATTGAAGGGTCCCAGTTCAATTCCGGTCAAGGGTACATGCCCCGGTTATGGGCTCGATCCCCAGTGGGGGGCGGCCAAGAGGCATCCAATCAATGATTCTCTCATCATTGATGTTTCTATCTCTCTCACCCTCTCCCTTCCTCTCTGAAATTAATAAAAGATTTTTTTTTAAGATGGAGGAAGGGAATAGGGAATGTGGGTGATCTTAAGAATCTGAAGTTCACACAGTATTCACCTCCTTGTGTATGATGTGAGATAGTAATTATAAGAAATTACCCCAACACTTTAAATGCCCTTTCATGTGACCTTCCCTGTACTCATGGACCTGTGAATAGAATTCTACTCTGAAAAACTAGTCTGTTTATAATTCAGTACAAAATTGGCTTAATTACAAAGGTTTAAAGTAAAATTTGCTTTTCCTACCCACTATAGTTTCTGTTGAAAAAAAAAGAGACACTGAGGAGAAATAGAAAAGATAAAGATTTTAGAAGTTCAGTGATGTTGAACCTCTGTGTGTTCAGAATCTAATCAAGATTTTTCTCCTAAAACCTCCAAATTCCTTTGGGAATTTGAAAGTACAATGAATTTAAAGATTATTTGGGGTAGAATTTAAACATTTTTAAAGGAGAACGACCTATGCATTTACTCGTCACCTTTTTTGCTCTTCAACAAAATTTTATAGTTTTCTTTCTATAGATTGTGCATGTTGTTAATTTTCCTGTTAGATTTGCTGCGATATAATTTATATACAATAGATTCCATCACTTTAAAGGTTTAATTGAATATGTTTTAACACATGTAGATAGTCATGTAAACCAACATGATCATGACATAGAACATTTCCATCATCCACAAATATCCACTTGTGTCCCTCTTTGCACCCCCTGGTCTTGAAATAGTGGATCTGTTTTTATCATTGTATTTTTCTCCCTGGAATTTCATATACATGAATTCATACAATATATAGTTTATTTATGTCTCTTTTTTTTCACTAAACATAATGCTGTTGAGACATATTGGTATTATTGTGTGTATCAGCAGTTACTCCATTTCTATTGCTGAGAAGTATCCCTGGTATGAATGAGATGTTGATTTATCTATTCACCTGTTCATAGGCATTGAGCTATTTCCAGTTTGGGGGGAAAAAACTATGAGGAGCATGTTCATACAAATATTTGGGTGGACATATTTTTAATTTTTCTTGGATAAATACTTAAAAGAAGTACCAACTCTGTCTTAAGTTCTTTTTTTAATTAATGTGGGTATAAATAAATTAGGATTAATGTGAGAGTAAAGAAAATGAAATCTAGAGAACCAAGATGGCGGCATAATGTACAGACCTGTGCGTGCTGCCTCCCACAACAACATCGAGACTACCAACTATAAAACAAACAGTTATCATTCAGAACCATGGGAAAGCTGGCCCAGTGGAAGCTCTACAACTGGAAGGAAAGAAAGAAGAGCATTGAGACTGAGTAGGTTGTGCAGAGGCTCCAAGAACGGAGGTACGGAGTCATGCGCCAGGCGGCCTGAAACTGGATGCGCGGTTTTTTTCAATCATAAGGGGCTGCAGACTCTCGAGTCCACTGAGTTTGTTTGGGGCGGAATTCTGAGGTCCCAGACCCCTACAGGGAGAGGTGGGATGGCCTTGCAACGGGCCATAGAGCGAGAGTGGTTGTCTCGCGGAGCTGCCCGCCAGTGCTCGGGGACGCAAGGACCTGGAGTCGGGGAGAGGCGAGGAGTCGTGGAGACGCCATTGCCCTTGGCCCCGCCCTGGTGATTCGCCAAGAACAGAGGTGTGGAGTCTCGCACCAGGCTGGCTGCAACTGGATGCGCGGGTTTTTTTCATTCAGAAGGGGATGCAGACTCTCAAATCCACTGAGCTTGTTTGGGGCAGGATCCTGAGGTCCCAGATCCCTATGGGGAGAGGCGAGACAGCCTTGCAACAGGCCAGAGAGTGAGAATGGCTGTCTCGTGGAGCTGCTCGCCGACACTCGGGGACGGGAGATGCCGAGTTGTGGAGAGGCGAGGAGTCTCGGAGAAGCCATTGCCCCTTGCTCCGCCCTGGTGATTCCCGGGGATCCCGCCCTACTCAATTTACATCCCCACCCAAGCTGTGCTAGTGGCAGAAAGAGAACCACTGGTGCTTTTTCAGCCCAGCCCAGCAGAATGCAGATTTCAACTCGTCGCATACATAAGGGACACACTCAAGAAGCAGAATCCGGTTCGGAGGAAGCCGGAGCCAGACCTGGCTGGGCTGGCATTGTGGAACTGCTGTATCAGCAAACGCACAGGCAGGTCCACCAGATCCAGTCTCACATGGGATGCTGGGAGACGGCAGACAGGCAGTCTGTGCCCTTGGTAGAAAACGAAATCCAAGCAAGCATACCAGATATTCAGCCACCAGGAACGCCTGGAGATTTTGTCCAGCAAGGAGCCGCCCAACAAAGGACAGAATGCCAAACTTTGTGTTGCTGAGACGGCCCCTGTGAGGCTGAGGCGGCCCCCGTAGGGTCGAGGTGGCCCCCGTAGGGTCAAGATGGCCCCCGTGGGGCTGGGACGGCCCCCGTGAGGCTGAGGCAGCCCCGGTGAGGTTGAGACAGCCCCGGTGAGGTCGAAACGGCCCCGGTGAGGCTGAAACAGCCCCCGTGAGGTTGAAACAGGCCCGGTGAGGCTGAAATGGCCCTGGTGAGGCTGAGACGGCCCCAGTGAGGCTGAGACAGCCCCGGTGAGGTCGAAACGGCCCCGGTGAGGTTGAAACGGCCCTGGTGAGGTTGACTCAGCCCTGGTGAGGTTGAAATGGCCCATGTGAGGTTGAGACAGCCCCAGTGAGGCTGGGATGGCCCCGATGAGGCTAAGACCACCCCGGTGGGGCTGAGACGGCTCCGGTGAGGTTGAATCAGCCTCGGTGAGGTCGAGACGGCACCACTGAGGTCGAGACAGCCCTGGTGAGGTCGAGATGGCCCCAGTGAGGTCAACACGGCCCCAGTGAGGTTGAAACAGCCCTGGTGAGGTTGAAGTCAGCCCCAGTGAGGTTGAAATGGGCCCGGTGAGGATGAAACGGCCCCGGTGAGGCTGATACAACCCCGGTGAGGTTGAATCGGCCCCGGTGAAGTCAAGACAGCACCGGTGAGGTCGAGATGGCCCCAGTGAGGTCAACACGGCCCCAGTGAGGTTGAAACAGCCCTGGTGAGGTTGAAGTCAGCCCCAGTGAGGTTGAAATGGGCCCGGTGAGGATGAAACGGCCCCGGTGAGACTGATACAACCCCGGTGAGGTTGAATCGGCCACGGTGAAGTCAAGACAGCACCGGTGAGGTCGAGACGGCCCCGGTGAGGTTGAGACTGCCCCAGTGAAGTTGAAATGGCCCCAGTGAGGTTGAAACAGCCTCGGTGAGGTTGAATCAGCCCCGGTGAGGTTGAAACAGCCCTGGTGAGGCTGAAACGGCCCCAGTGAGGTTGAAACGGCCCCGGTGAGGTTGAGATAGCACTGGTGAGGTTGAGAAGGCCCCAGTGAGGTCGAGATGGCCTCGGTGAGGTTGAGACGGCCCCAGTGGGGTTGCGACAGCCCCGGTGGGGTTGCAACAGCCCTGGTAAGGTTGAAACGGCCCCAGTGAGGTTGAAACGGCCCCGGTGAGGCTGGGATGGCCCCGGTAAGGTTGAGTCGGCCCCGGTGAGGTCAAGACGGCCCTGGTGAGGTTGAATAGGACCGGTGAGGCTGAAACGGCCCGGTGAGCTTGCAACGGCCCCGGTGAGGTTGAAACAACCCCAGTGAGGCTGAAATGACCCCTGTGAGACTGAGATGGCCCCTGGGAAGCAGAGAAAAATACCACATGAACTCACTCATTTATGGATAATAAGGACCATTATAGACTGATGAACAAAAATGAATACAGAGGCAGAGCAGCATTGAGCAGACTGTCAAACTACAATGGGAATCCTGGGGAGGGTTGGGGGGGTAGGAGATCAACCAAAGAGGACTTGTATGCATGCATATGAGAATAACTAATGGACACAAGACACTGAAGACAATAATGTGGATTAATCAGAATAATTTTATCCTATCACTGAGAAAAACTAAACTGTCAAGATAAGAGTTCTTCAAAAAATTAATATTGTTCATTTTTACAGCCTCTATTGCATCTAAGAAATAGCCCGACACAGAGTAGGAACTCATTAAATATTACTTGAATGAATAAATGTATAAAATATGTGCTCAAAGTAATAGCTAACATTATAATATTACAAACACAAGAGAGAAAATTAGGCATAGATTTTTAAAAAAAATAAAATAAAATAACATAAATAAAATAAAATAAATAAAAAAAGAAAATGAAATCTAAAATTAAACTTGCTTAAACATATAAGGCTTGGTAAATATAAGGCTATGGGATATATATTTTTCTTTATATGTTGGGCTCTTGAAAAGTTACAGTAAAATGGAATGTTTAAAAGCACTGTTATATACTATGTGACTTATCACAGTATCTGTTTCTATTTTTTTTATTTTTTCAGTGAGAAGCAGAGGCAGAGATAGAATCCAGTCTCTGAATAACAGAGTCCCAAGGAAAAGAAGCAAACCAAAAGGTAAAATTTTTAAAGATGGATACATTTTCAATTACTAAACATCTAAATTCTCATGCTATATTCCTTGCTTTAAGTAACAAACCTATTTCCCTAATCACTTTACGTAATTATACTAACTGTTGAGGAATATATCAGATTTAGTCAATTCCAAAATTCATCAGGGATTGAAAGATAACACTGCAAACAAGTAACTTGGTAATGAATTCACAAACAGAACCCAGGGCCCAGGGGCCATGGCAGGGCCAGGCCTGCTAAATTGCTAACGTTCTGACTGGAAATACAGCTGGGGTGTTTTTCTAAAACACTACTATTTACAATGCAATTTTATAAACAACAGACATTTGTGTTATTTTTCCCCACTAGGGACAAAAGCAGTCAACACCAGGCCTTTGAAAAGAAGCAGAAAAAGAGGTAAAAAGAAGTGATTCATACACTTTTAGTAATTAAGCATATAAATTTTTTAATTAAATCTTTATTGTTCAGATTATTACAGTTGCTGCTCTTTTTTCCCCCCATAGCTCCCCTCCACCAGGTTCCCACCTCACCCTCTGCCCTTACCCCCCTGCCCCCACTGTCCTCATCCATAGGTGTACGATTTTTGTCCAGACCTTCCCTCCAAGGCCCGACAGTCCAATCAATGCCTCTCCATCTCTGGATCAGTCCTTGTTCATCAGTTTATGATGTTCATTATATTCCACAAATGAGTGAGATCATGTGGTATTTATCCTTCTCTGACTGGCTTATTTCACTTAGCATAATGCTCTCTAGTTCCATCCATGGTGTGGCAAATGGTAAGAGTTCCTTTTTCTTCTTCCTCTTCTTAAAGAATACCTTTCAGCATTTCATATAATGCTGGTTTGGTGGTGATGAACTCCTTTAGCTTTTTCTTATCTGTGAAGCTCTTTATCTGACCTTCAATTCTGAATGATAGCTTTGCTGGATAAAGTAATCTTGGTTGTAGGTTCTTGCTATTCATCACTTTGAATATTTCTTGCCACTCTCTTCTGGCCTGCATGGTTTCTGTTGAGAAATCAGCTGACAGTCGTATGGGTACTCCCTTATAGGTAACTGACTTTTTTTCTCTTGCTGCTTTTAAGATTCTCTCTTTGTCTTTTGCTCTTGGCATTTTAATTATGATGTGTCTTGGTGTGGTCCTCTTTGGATTCCTTTTGTTTGGGGTTCTCTGCGCTTCCTGGACTTGGAAGTCTATTTCTTTCACCAGGTAGGGGAAGTTTTCTGTCATTATTTCTTCAAATAGGTTTTCAATATCTTGCCCTCTCTCTTCTTCTGGTACCCCTATAATTCTGATGTTGGTACGCTTGAAGTTGTCCCAGAGGCTCCTTACACTATCTTCGTATTTTTGGATTCTTTTTTCATTTTGCTTTTCCGGTTGGGTGTTTTTTGCTTCTTCGTATTTCAAATCTTTGACTTGATTCTTGCGATCCTCTGGTCTGCTGTTGGGAGTCTGTATAATATTCTTTATTTCAGTCCGTGTATGCTTAATTTCTAGTTGGTCCTTTATCACAACATCGAGGGTCTCACTAGATTTCTTAAGGATCTCAATACATTTATCGGCGGTTTCCATAAAATTCTTGAAAAATCTTAGAACCGTGGTTTTGAACTCTATATCCAGTCGTTTGCTGTCCTCCATTTCTGTCATTTGTGACCTGTTTCTTTGTCTTCGCATTTTGTCTGCTTCCCTGTGTTGGTAGAGTGGTTTTGTGTGCTAGGTGTCCTACAGGGCCCAGTGGCTCAGCCTCCCCAGTTACCTGAGGTGGACACTCTTGGTGCACCCCCTTGTGGGCTTTGTGCACAGTCTTGTTGTAGTTATGCCTTGATTGTTTTAGGTGTCACTGGGAGGAATTGACCTCCAGGCCAATTGGCAGTGAGAATCAGCTGTGTCTGCAGTGGGAGAACTTCTGTGCTGAAGACACCCTTCTGGGGCAAGACTTGCTTCAGTGGGGCTTTGGTGCTCACTGAGTCTGCCCCCTGAGTGTGTCCCTTATGGGTCTGAGGAGTTGTAATCTGGATGGTCCCACTCTGACCACTGGGTACACTGGCTCTTGGATCTCTAAGGAGGTGCTAATTTAGCCTCTTCCTGAGGCTACCCAGCAGTAGCTATGGAGAGATCTGCAGATTCCTCTTCTTTGTTTGAGGTTTGGAGATGCCCAGATGAGACCCAGCTGTGAAGCAATGCAAGCTGCTGTGGGGCCTTTGGCCTTCTTTTGGAATTTCTGGGTCTCTCTGACCTAGCTGCAGTTTGTTAGGTAATTTTCAGATTGCAAAGGGCCAAGCCTTTCTTATGCAAAAGCTTCTGCCCACAGCTTGGGTGGGGCGAGGTCTCAGGGGATCAATAGGGCGGCGCCAGCAGCTATGGCTTCTCCTCAGTCCTATCCTAAGAGGCCCCCGGTCTCAGTGTCCCGTGGTAATCGCTGCAAGCACCTCTGAGAGAAAGCCACTCTCGAGTTATGACTGATGCCACCAAACAGTCCAGTTTCTCCACGTATGAGTCTGGGTCCCCAGAGACTCGCCGAGAACTGGAGTTCAGAGCAGTCAGGAGCTTGAGAGTCTCTCCTGATTGAAAAAGACAACCATGTCCTCAGTTGCCAGCCTTTTCCACATGCGCCTCCGTACCTCTGCACTTTACTTCCGCACCTTCTCTGAGTCTCAGTGTGCTTTTGTATTTCCTTCTAGTTGTAGAATTTCCACTCAGCCAGCCTTCCTGTGGTTCTGGATGATGTCCATTTTATCTTTTAGTTGTATTTTTGAAGTTGTTGTGCAAGGCAGCAATTTCCGGTGTTTACCTATGCTGCCATCTTGGGTTTTTTCCTCAAGCATCTAAATTTTTATTTCATACTCTTTTTTCTGAGTGACCAATCAATTTCTTAATTGGCTTATAGAGCCAGTAACAAACGTCAGAGTAGTCATCTGCCTTGGCAATTTCAACAATACAACAGGTTGCTCATAACACCCACTTTATTGATGTTGATCAGTTAACCTGTGAGAGAGCACAAGGCTCCGTGGGCCTAGGGAAGGCTCCCTTCACTACACTGAAAACTTTTAAGGAGAAAAATATGAAGTGTGTGACTAACATGCTATTTAGTTGACCCTTCTCTTGATCACATAGAGACTCATCGGTTGCCCACCAAGGGGGGCCCTTACTGGTAATACAAGATGTGTGTCCTAATTTCTAACATTCCTTTTATTATGTAGTTTCTGCTTGTCATTTCTTCTTTTTGCCTCAATTTCCTCCTCTGTAAATGGGTGTGTGACAAATGAACTCAACTGAGTGGTCCCCTAGGCCCTCTCCAGCTCTAAAAGAACTAACTCTGAAAGGACCAGGGACAACCTACCCTCCCCATCCCAGAGAGAAACCCTCGTGTATATCTTTCATGGATCCCCCTCAATGTTGGCCAGAAGGACAGGAGTAGGTGCTGCTGCTATAAAGTTTTTAAGATTTTCAGCCTGGCTGATGTGGCTCAGTGGTTGAGCGTCAACCTATAAACCAGAGGTCATGGTTAGATTCCCAGGCAGGGTACATGCCCAGGTTGCGAGCTCAATCCTCAGTGGTGAATATGCAGAAGGCAGCCTATCAATGATTCCCTTTCATCAGTGATGTTCCTCTCTCTCTTCCTCTCCCTTCTTCTCTGAAATCAATAAAAATATATTTTTAAAAGACTTTCAACCCCTACTTCAGCAGAATCAGAGCCAGTGCCCCACCCCAAGGAGGTACAGAGGCCCTCTTCCTGGGCAATCTGCAGTTTCTTCTAGGAGCACCCTGCCCTGATTCACAGAGTGAAATCCATACAGAAAGTTCACATGAAGGAGAAGTGAAACAAGGCAGAGAGCAAGGAGGGAAGGCAGACACTGTTCCTGCTAAGTTCCCCACTGTCATCCTGTTCTCTATTCCCCCAGTGGGGCCTCAGATGGGGAGACAACTAAAAGTTGAGGGGTTTTTTCCATCCACATAATTCAAAGCAATAATGTGGCTAGAAATCTTCCTTAAAAACAGGAGAAAAATCATTGTGCAATAGGTAGTTGTGGCCAACAAGCTTGGGAATTCAGGTCCTTCACATGAGGCTATTATGCAGGATTTCAGAAAACAGAAGTGGAGGATGACATTATCATTGTGTGTCTAACCTGCCATAAAAGAAAAATGCTGTTCATGGGGAAACTCCCTCCACTACATATTGATTTATAAAAGAAGGCTCTCAAGATGGGTGAGAAGAAAGAGGGCACAGTTAGAAGAAAATAATAACAGTAATGCTTCCTTGCAGGTCCAAGAATTCCCAGAGATAAACATATGAACTTCAAACACTCTATACTTACCGTGACCTGTGGTCCAGCAAAGGGGGAATTATATAAAGAGAAAATGAAACAAGGTAAGTTTCCTGGTCTTCTACGCTTTTCAACTGGAAACCATCCATGTGGATATTATATTGTTCAGGGCTAGACACCTGTGTCAGGGTCTCCAAGACCATCCCAACGTTTGGTGATTTACTAAGAGGACTCACAGGACTCAGCATATAGTCTAACTCATTGCTATGATTTATTAAGTTGATACAAAGCAAAATCAGCAAAGGCAAAAGCACATGGGACAAAGTCCAAAGGCAATAGGTGCCAGTTTCCAAAGGTTCTCTCCCAATGGAGTCATACAGGACACATTTAATTCTCCAGCAGCAACTCAAAACAACACATGTGAGATGTTGTCTATCAGGGAAGCTGCCCTGAGCCTAGGAGTCACAGGGTTTTTACCAGGAGTTAGCCACATAGGTACACTTTACCTCGCATCTGCCAAAATTCCAGACTTCCAGAAGGAAAGCAAGTGTTCAGCACATGCCCCATGGGAACGGTGGGACCCCTCCCAAAATCCAGGCTTTCAGATGTCAGCCAAGGATCAGCTTTGGAAGCAGGCATTTCTAAAGGTAGTTGTCTCAGGTTTTCTCTGTAAGGTCTTTTCTGCACAGCATCTCAAATAGACTGGAGGAAAGATGACATTTCCTCACTTTTAAAATTCATAAACATTAGCCTACCAGGCCATCTCTCCTTTCCCCCAAGGAAAAGGTCCCTATAATGCCCATCCAGCACCCAACCCAAGAACAAGTGCTTCAATATCAGGGTAGAAATGTACACATTTTAGAAATACAACAAGAACTTCACAGTCCCATTCCCTGCAACACCTATGCCACCTTATGCTAGCCAGGAGCACGGGTTTTAGAATCAGGATACCTGGCTTCGAGTTTCAGCTATATCAAGAGTATCTGTTCCAACTGGACCAAACCTTTCTTCTCTCTCATCCTAAACTTCCTCCTCTACAGAATGGGAATAGTAATAAAACTTGCTTCACCGTATTATTATGAAAAAAAAATGGAATAACAGATATAAAATAACTTTAAAATTGTAATTGTTAAAGTACAGCACAAATGTTTGGCAGCCAGTATTGATTCCCCCTCCCAAAATAGAGTTCTTTAGGCACCAACAAGTATAAATGTGTGCCCTATGACTATATTGCATATGAGTAATTTAACTTTTCCTACTACATAACATTTCCATAATTACTTTCCACATAAAATAGCCATGAATCCAAAATATGAGAAATAATTGCTGTCATTAACTGGTTATCAACATTGTGCAAGACTAGACAGATGTGGCTGTGGTGACAGCTGCCACATGGCCACCTGTGTGCCCTCATCAGCCCTCACTGAAATTCAGCCTGGCTCTATCCTGAGTCTCAGAGAAGGGATGGGAAAGAATCCTGGTCTTTTTTTTTTTAAGAGTCATACTTTTTTCCCTCTCTTTTGAATATAATTAAATACTTTTTAAAAGAAAATGTTAGAAATAATTATTGCCCTTCTCATTGCACAGTAAAGGAAAGTGTGCACACATGGCAGGAAGTCCCTTCTACCACCGCCCTTCAGGTTGTTGTGGGGCCCCTGAGAGGGAACTCAGCTCTTCTGGGTTGATGATTCTAAGCCCAAAATGGGTGGTAGGAGGCCAAGTTCTAGGGTTTTCACAGTCAGGGACATTCTCTGGCAACAAAGGGAGCTCAACCTGTCTTGCCCGGTCTCACAGGAATCTCAGCAAAGTGTATAAAGACAAAGAATGGGAAGCAGCTCACCCTCAAGGAATTTGAAATTGAAGGAAACCACGAAAGGTCCAAGAATTGGAGGCTGAGTGTGCGCTGTGATGGATATCCCCTGAAATACCTGATTAAGGTATCCTAATGACAAAGGGTTTCCATTAAGGATGGAGTGTCATAGTTCACAAACTCCAAGCTTTATTGATGTTCAGAAAACCATCATGACTTCCTTTGCGCAGGTCACAATGCATGCTATTACTAACTAACATTCCATTCCGGTGTTATCTTGACCAGTTTATCACAGTGTAATCATAAGTGCATGAACTCTTCTCCCTTTGAAGGTAGACAGTAATTGTGGCCTTGACTCTGTCACTAGTAGTTGCCACTGTGTAATATGGTCACAGGAAAATAATTTAAATTGGGGAGTGGGGGGCAGAGGAGGCCATCTTAGGCTTTGGGGACCAATAAAGTAGCATAGTAATGTATCTGGGAGGCACTGGAAATACCAAACTCAAAACAGTAGAAAAAGTACAGAAGTACAAACAGGACACAAAGACTCCTCACAGCATTAATCTCATTTCTCTTTCAGAAAGGATTTCTACCAGACCCACCGAGAACAAGAAAGGTGATTATCGCATGATTTTCTGCCTATATCTCACCTATAGTATTGTTAATTTTCCTTTTCTCTGGCCTTATTCTATGGCTCCTAACTTCATTAATTCTAGTAAAATTTGATTTATAATATGGGGATTTTTGTACTTGCTGCTTTCAAACATTACAGTGTCTGAGACCAGAACTTCTTTAAGCATTAAAACATAAGAGATAGAGGTGAGGCTAATCCTTTAAAATAGATAATGAGACAGAGCTGACCTTATATGATTGATTCAACTTCATTATCTAGCATGGAAGAATAACTCATGGGGTGGGGTGGGGTTCTAGGACACCCAGAGATGCAGGCAGTTATATGGTCACCTCTTTGGTCATTATGCCTTGGGTCCACTGGTGGTTTCTCTATGGCCTCTCTGCCCCAGCTAAAGGTAAGAGCTGAGTTAGTCATTGCCCCAGGCTGAAAGGAGGCCCAGTCATTTCACAGATACCCAAGGTCAATGCAAGCCCTTGGGATTCAGGAGACAGTGGAGAGGTGCTCACCTTCAAGAAAAGATGCAGAACTGGGACTTTGTACCCATTTTATCTTTAGTGCTGTGTCCCAGGAGAGCTTCAGAAGGCCGTGGAGTCTGCAGAAACCTTTCTTTGGCACCCAGGACTCTGGGCCCTGAGGTCACTCGGGGCTGTGGGTGATGAGTCCTCAGTCTGAGTCTCTCATTTAAGCTCCAACTCCATCTGTGAAAACCAGGGCCAGCCTCCCTCCCTACATGGCTTCACAAAAGCCGCCTTGGGTATAAGATCCACAGAATGGAATTTGCATTGGGCCAAACCATCACTGACACATAATTTAATGTTTTTTATTCTCCAATTAGATATATAGACTCACAAAAGCAGATGTAAAGCAAAGGGAAGGCATGAATCCTTTGCATAAAAAGTATGCTCAAATGTGTGGTTAATGAAAACTCATATTCAATATTGTCACTCGATCTTTCTCTGTTTTCTATAGATAGTACCAGATTCTCACAGTGATAACATTATTGACCCATATGTAAGTATTGCTACCTGTAACCCCAGAATAATCTAGGCCTTTTCAATACATTATCTCTGTCATGCTGTCTTTCCCTGAAGCATGCTCACACTCAGTTAGAACATGTCGCTATGTGTGATGAGTAAAGAACAGCAGATGCATCACCCATGCCAGGTAAATGGTTCTGGAGTTGGGTGTCTCAATGTGAAAGCATCCTTTCCATTTGTTTGGTGGAAACCTTCCTATTTTCCCATTAGTATGGGAGGCAGAGCTCTAAACCACTGGGGTCTCTAGAGATGGGTCTTGAAGTAGAAATGGGCAGGGCTAGCCTGCCGATTAGGGGTAGGGAGAAAATTCGAGAGGATATCAGAATTTTAAAGAAAGCAGAAGGAAAGAGAAGGAAAATCTCCAACATCCACTCCATGGTGCAGGCAGTGATAAGATGGTTTCATACATCAGACAGAAGGAATAGGCCTCACCAGGCTGATGAGTTCAAGGTGTACATCCTGTCATGAGTCCTGCAGAGAAATGTACTGAGTGTTCCCCAATTGTGTAACATGGGGAAATAACTAATGGGGTGGGCGGGGGTCCAAGGACACTCAGAGAGGCAGGTGGTGTCACCCCTCAGGTCATTATGCCTTGGATCAAACTGGGTAGTTTGTCCATGGCCTCTCTGCTCCGGGCTGGAGGTAAAAACTGAGGCAGTCATTGTTCCAGACTGGAAGGACATCAATTCATTCTAACGATACCTAAGGTTCAGAAACCTTGACCCAAAAGCCTAACAATAGGTGGTCAGCATCCATGAGTCTCATTTGTTATGACAAAAAGGATAAACAATTACATGGCCCCATGCCAGAGTCAGCAAGGCCCATGTGGGGATGTGCCCAAGGATGTCCCTAATGAGGCATTATACAAGTTTTTCTATTGAAAGGGAGAACATGGGCAAGAGACACATTGCAGCTTAGAATTTCCTTATACATGTATGTAAGTTTTGTATCTCTTCTTATATTAAACTTATAAATGAAGAGAATGTACAAACTGGGGTATAGTCCAATTCACCCAAGCTCATTGGACCCAGAGATGATATCTGACTGTTATGATTTGTAACTTTAGTAGCAGACCTTTTTTTTCTTTCCTAATAAGATGGTATTATGATTAGGGCCTCTACATTCTTGTAGCAGTGGAACTCACAGAAGCACTGAGAATGAGATGAGATATTTAAAAATTTGGACTTGCAACACTGTTGATACATTGGATATCTAGGTGTGGAGAAAAGCAGAATCCATCTTCAATTCTGGGCTCCTGGGTGAATTATGGGTTCCTTGGTGAGATGGGAGCTAAAAGAGGAGAAGATTACAAACAGGAAGACAAGGAATACAGTTGGGGACAGGGTGGATTTTAGACTTGATGAAGACTTCTAACTGGAGATGATGGAAAGTAGAGTGTGGAGGTTTAGGGTCTCAGAAGGAGACCAGGGACACAGGTTTTAAAGTCTAAGGATAAGTAAGGTAAGCATGGTCATGGGAGCAGTGAAGGAGTGGGGGATGTAGGACAGAGCCCCAAGGAATTCCAACATTCTAACTGAGGAGCCTTCAAGAAGAGGCAGAGTTTTATGGGGGTAAATCCAAGGGAGTAGAGATTCAGAGAACAAAGCATAGTGTTTCTAGAAGGAAGAAGTGGAATGGCACTTCCTGTCACCTCCCCACTTCCTCACCACCCGCCAGCATCTCAACCGCCCATCACTGAGTGAGCCAGTCCTCAAGTCTGTGCATTATTTTGTACCTACGTTATCACAGGACAATGTGAATTCCTCCTTCTAACCCATTGTGTAGACAAGATATTTTCATCTAAGTGTAGAGCTGTTACCAACACATTGGGTGAGACATTCCCCCACCACAGAGTTCTCCTCAAACAGTTATCTATCTGCTCAGGTGGAGCCAAAAACTTCTGGACATTTCTCCATCACAGACACATGACCCTCATACATAGAAATTTAATATGTAGAGATTCACATGTTATTGCCACATAGATTATCATCCACACACAAAATAAAGAAAACATGATTTTTCTCACAGCCCAATGGATTCATTCCTTGGCCAATTCTTACTTTTGTCTATAATTTCTACCATCTTCACTGTGTTTTTTCATTCCACAATACTTATATGCAAACACTGTCAAATTATTGACTTCACTCAATGAAAGTAAATCTGGCTGAAGGACCTGCATATTAAAATTGTGGAAGACCCAGCATCATTCAGTTTTGTGGGTTCTTCCATCTTCCTTATATAGAACAAAGCACCAGATCATCCATGAACCCAGTGGTTGTCATTACCATACTCCCTGGCCATTCAGAGATGGCACCTCCACACCTTTCATGCCAAGCTGAGTTGGGACATCTTCCCCAGCCTCCCAGAGCTAAAGAGCTCAGTCTAGCCTGGCATTTACCTGGTCATCTATGCCCAGGGTCTCTCCAACCCAGAGGTACTGTCACAGGCCCAGAGTCCCTCCAGGCACAGAATCCATCGTCCAGTAATACCTTCCCAGGCTCTTAAACTCATGGGGAACTTATGGTTGAAAAAATTAGGTGCAGTGATATCTCAGGAATTTATTCCATCATATTAAATTCTCAGTAAATCACTCTTTGATGAGTCAGTTTTGATGAGACAATATAGACAACCAGATAAGACACTGTATTTCTGAACCATATTTTTCCAACAGAATAATAAATATCTCATATTATCTTTAATTCACCCTTTTTGTTGCTAGCTGAATCTCTGTCTCCATAGGGAAAACTTTCCTGACCTAATACAGCCACTTCCTCCTGAACATCGCTGCAGACCAAAATGTCTTCAAAAAACCTCTACTCAGATATCTTTACAGACACAGCTCCTGGGGCAATGTAAACTAAGGAGAAAAAAAATGGGACTACATCAAAATAAAAAGCTTCTGCACAGAAAAAAAAATCAACAAAACAACAAGAAAGCCCACTGCATGAGAGACTTCCTTCCCAAAACAGGAGAAAAGTTATTTTATTATTATGATTATTTTAGCCATCAGGATTCTCACCTCTTTCCTACGAGATAAATTCTGGTGAATTAATTTGTGTGTGTGTGTTTTTTAGTCTTTATGTCAGTGGTTCTCAACCTTCTGGCCCTTTAAATACAGTTCCTCATGTTGTGACTCAACCATAAAATTATTTTCGTTGCTACTTCATAACTGTAATGTTGCTACTGTTATGAATCATAATGTAAATATCTGATATGCAGGATGGTCTTAGGCGACCCCTGTGAAAGGGTCGTTCGACCGCCAAAGGGGTCGCGACCCATAGGTTGAGAACCGCTGCCCTAGAGGCTTTTTTCCATTAAGACAGGGCAGCAAGAAAGGCCTGTTGGGGCCTGAGTCCTTCCCGGTCCTTCAGTTCTTCCTAAGAAGGACCCCACAGTTGTGGAAAGAAGAGTTGAACACATAAAAATCAAGGCTCAGCAGAGCTTAACATTTTTCCGGAACAGGAAAGCATTTTTGTCTGTCTTCTATTATTTTGAATACACATACACACTTAGATAAGGAGGTCAGGTTTCCACCCCAAGTTCCTGATTTGCTCTTCTCTGGGCACCAATTAAAATAACCACTTGATTAGAGAGCAGCCAAAGGACTTGTATGCATGCATATTAGCATAACCAATGGACACAGGCAGTGGGGCAGTGGGGGCTTGCCCAGGGTGGGAATGGCTGGGGGAGGGGGAGTGAATTGGGGAAAAAGGAGACATATGTAAAACTTTAGACAATAAAAAAATAATAATAAATAAATAAATATCTCTGCTCAGTGTTATTCTTTAATATTACAAGTTTCACCTTGGTACAAGCAAAATTTGTGTGTTCTAGAGTCCAATGAAATCTCACTGTCCTTCCGGAATCTCACTGATCCCAGTGATTTCTACATTATCTCCCTTTCTAGCCAGAAAACTCAAATATATGTGAGATGTGCCATAAAGGAGGAACGCTATTTTGCTGTGATACTTGTCCAAGATCCTTTCATGACTCATGCCACATCCGTCATATTGATCCTGACAGGCTAGTGACACTTGATCTCCTCTTGCCCTTCCTTCTTGTGGTAGAGCTCTTCCCACCATGCACACTCAGCCTGCAAAGTTTATCTGGTTGTATGTGTCTTGATGCAGAGGGAGCAGGGTCCTTAAGTATCAGGATCCAGAATTATGATCCAGAGCTATTTAACTGTACTGGCAGCAGTAGATTCATGGGAAGTGAAAATTCCTCAAGTGGTTTTTAGGGGGAATAGAAAGAGGTGTCACCACCACCTCCTCTGCTTTGTTCCCTAACCCATACACTTTGATGGGATGGTGACACCGTGCATTAGCTGCTAGTTGGAAGCATATACCACCTGCCTTGGGAACATCTCAAAGCTGGCAAAGCTGGGGCTGTGATGAGTCCTCTGAAGGCCATCCCCACAGTCCACCAAATCAGCTGACACTGGGTGACAGGGTCCATAATAAGACTCATGAGTTCGAGGGTAAGTCCACTGCTACATTTCCTCTGCTGTAAAATGTATCCTTGGTCAGAGGTGATGGTATGCAGGCTAACATCGAGATTGGTAAGGCATCTATAAATGGTGGTGTGGGCAGAGGATGTCTACCAGGAATGTGTGTATCCCCATGAGGACAAAGCATTGCCCTCCATAATGGGAGGAATCTAACATAACCCAGCTGCTCTCAGGTAGCTCTCAGGCAGTGGTGCCACCTCAGGGATTTGGCATAAACCTCTCTAGTCGGTCAGGCAATCTGCAGAGGAAGAAGCAGATCCACTTTTTTGTTGAATCCACAGATAATCCCCATCCCTGAACCATGGACACTGTGTAATGGGCCTCTTTTTTTCAATTACAATTGACATGCAACATTATATTATTCATTTCAGGTGTATAACATAGTCAATAGACATTTATATAATTTACCTGTTGATGTCCTAAATAAGTCTAGTACCCATCTGACACCATACATAGTTAACATAATGTTACTATTTTCTCTATGCTATACTTTACATCCCCATGACTGTTTTTATAACTGACAATTTGTACGTCTTAATTTGTAATGGGCCTCTGAGAAAGGACTGAAGTGGCCCCGGGGAGAAGCTAAATGATATCTCTAAGATGAATCATTGTATCCACCTGATTGTGGAGAGCCTCCCAGCACAGAGAACCTGGGAGAGAGGGCTCTCGAGGCAAATAGAGTATCTGACACTCTGTTGGTAGGGTTCCTTTCCAAGAAGTCTCTGCAGCACAGATTCTAG